AGAAACTGCGTGCGTTTTTTTTATCTGCGAGAGCCTTTAGCGGCGACAATTAGGGCTTTACCGGCGACAAAGGTCAATAGCGGCGACAAACCGGAGGGAAGGATACCACATCATTTTTTAGCTAACTATTAGCGGCGACATTTTTAACGTTTAGCGGCGACAAGTATGTCGCCGGTATTAGGTTAGTGCGGATAAAGGTACCCCAACCGTTGGATTGGATGTTTGATCGAACGGATTAGATGTAACGGAAGGGGAAAACGCGGATTCGGGTGATAACCCTTTAGTGGCGACGCTATTACCGACGACGTGGACTTTTAGCGGCGACTCTAGCATTTGTCGCCACTAAAAGCCCATGTCGCCGGTAATAGTGTCGCCGCTAAAGGGTGATATTCTTGTAGTGAGTGAAGGAACTAAAAGTGATATGGAACACAAATATTGCTGAAATTCGACTCATCTTATTCATCAACCAGCAGGCCAATTTATACCCATTACATCAAACGGTAACATAGAAAAACTGGAAAATAGGAGCAAATAACGGAACAACCTAGACTCAAAGAAAACTAAGACTGACCAGGTAAGCTGGTTAAATTTGCAGACCAGACAACAAGGCCCAATACAAAAACTAGAAATGGACTCGAAAACACCATACTGACCCACTAACTATAGGCCAACAAATCCTCCCTTAAACAAGTAGGCATCAAGCTTCTTGTTTAACTTCTTTCACTCCAATCTGCTTCGTGATCATCTTGAAAGTATCCAACTTCAATGGTTTAGTCATAACATCAACTAACTGTTTTTCAGACCTGCAAAATTCAAGCTTTACAACTCCTTGATTCACCAAGTTTCTTAGATAGTGAAACTGAACATCTATATGTTTTGTTTTCCGATGTAACACCAGATTCTTTGACAGTTTTATGGTTGAACTATTATCACATAGGACTTCAACAGTTCCGATTGGTTTCTCTTCAAGCTCTTCAAGTAAGCCTTTCAACCAAACACACTGACATGCGCATGTTGTGGCTGCTACATACTCAGCCTCGGTTGTTGACAAAGTGACTATCTCTTGCTTATGAGAGCTCCAACATATTGCACCACCATTGAATAAACATATATACCCAGAAGTGCATTTTCGATCTTCGATGTCACGAGCATAGTCACTATTTGTATACACTTTTAGCTTTTGATTGAGGTTCCTTTCAAAGTGCAACCCAAAGTTCCTGGTGCCTTTTACATATCTTAATACCCGCTTTGCTGCTGCCATGTGCTCCTCCTTGGGGTTTGCCATGAATCTGGACAGCAGACTAACCACATACATTAAGTCTGGACATGTGACTGTTAGATACATGAGGCTTCCTATGAGACTCATATATTTGGTACTATTTGCATCCTCCCCTGCTGTGGACTTTGTTAAGATTGTACCAGGGACAATTGGTTCTTCACTTCATTTGCTTCACACATGCTAAATCATTCCAGAATCTCCTTCACACATTGGGCTTGACATAGCGTGATACCATATGAGCTTTGATGCACTTCCACACCATTCTTTTGGGCATAACCTTTTACCACAAGCATTGCTTTATATTTATCCACCTCTCCCTTTTCATTGATCTTTGTTTTAAATAGCCATTTTACCCCAATTGGTTTTGCTTCAGCCGGTGCTTCTACCAATTCCCAGGTTTGATTTTTTTCAATGGCTGCTATTTCAGCTTTCATTGCTTTAACCCATTTTTCATCTTTGCAAGCTTCTTCATATGTTATTGGGCCATCTCTTGAGCTGTACATTACAAACCCTGCTTCATCTTCATTGAATAAATCTTGACCTGTGTGGTAGTCCTCCATCCAAACCGGAGGTCTTCGTGCTCGGGTGGATGGTCCAGGTTGTATACCAGAATCAATTGTAGCTGCTGGACTTGGATTTTCACCTTCACTAGATCCAGCATGGGTAGTTTGAGGTGGGGTCATACCTTGAGTTTGTGCATTGACTTCATTGTTTTGGCTTGAATTTGTTGGACTTTGAGGAGCAGCTGGAGCACGTTCTTCCTCCTCAGTTGTATTAGTGTTTTCTCTATCAAGGTTTTCTCCTTCTATAATTAATTCTTCATCTTTCTGACTTTCTTTATACCAATCCCAAGTTGCATCTTCATCAAATATGACATCCCTGCTGATTACAATCTTCTTTCTTATGGGGTCATAAGGCGATAAGCTTTTGATTCTTGACTGATTCCAAGGAACACACACTTGTGGCTTCTATTATCCAGTTTGGTTCTCATCTGTGCAGGGATGTGGACATACCCAATGCATCCAAAAACTTTGAAGTGCTCAACACTTGGTTTTTAACCGGTCCATAGTTCTTCTGGTACTTTATCATCAAGACTCCTGCTAATACACCTGTTCAATACGTGACATGCCCATTTTGCTGCTTCCGGCCAAAAATACTTAGGCATTGATTTCTCAGCTAAAAGGCAACGAATCATGTTTTCTATGGTTCGATTTCGCCGCTCTGCAACCTCATTTTGTTGTGGGGTGTAGGTGGCTGTGATTTGTCTTTTAATGCCCTCTGATTCACAGAGCATGTTGAATGGATTAGAGGTGAACTCTCCTCCCCTGTCACTTCTTAGACATTTAATGCTCATACCATTTTCCTTTTCCACAGAGCTTTTGAAAATTTTAAACACATCAAAGCTTTCATTCTTGTGAGATAGGAAATAAACCCAAGTCTTGCGTGTATAATCATCTATAAACACAAGAATGTACCTTTTTCCACTGTTTGAAGCTGGAGTGATGGGTCCACATAGATCTGTGTGGATCAACTGCAGTTTTTCGATAGCCCGCCATTCACTTTGCCTAGGAATAGCATCTCTTTGTTGCTTTCCTATTACACAAGTCTCACACACTGCATGTTTTTCTGCGATTGACGGGAGTCCCTTCACCATTCTTTTGAACAACATGGTTCTAAGAGCTTTATGATTAACATGGGCGAACCTATTGTGCCAGATTTGGGTGTTTGCAACATCTTTGACTTGCAAACATTTGGAGAAGGTTGTCTTTGAAGATGCAAACACAGGAAACATTCTGTTCCTTGTCATTTTAGATGTAATAATCAAACCCCTTTGAGGATGATATGCCTTGCACATACCTCCTTGAATTACAAATGTCACACCCTTATCTTGTAACTGCCCAACACTAATAAGATTAGATGTTAATAAAGGTACATAATAGACATTTGTAATGACTTGTGAGATGTCATCCACTGTTAGACGGATATCCCCTAAGCCTTTCACGTCCAACCTGTGATCATTACCAAGCTTGACCTTCTGTTCATACGTCTCATCCATGCGTATGAACCAGTCCTTTGACCCTGACATATGATTTGAGCATGCTGAATCCAAGAACCAAATGCCACCCTTTCCTGGATTTTCTTCATCTACAACTGCCATCAATAAATGTGTCTCCTTTTCATATTATTCAATATCAACCGAAGCCATCAAGAGCAACTCTTCATTATCTTCGTATTCAGCATAGTTTACAGCACGGTCACCATTTGGACATTCATATTGGAAATGTCCAAATTGGTGGCATTTGAAACATTCAATTGAAGATTTATCAAATTGGGGTCGATTGTCTGATTGAGCTCTGTCGCAACCTCTTCCTCTTCCTCGATTGGAAGATCCTCTGTCTCTTCCTCTTCCACGACTAGCATTCTGATCGTTTTCCACCTTTAAGACATGCTCATCATTTTGCTTACGTCTGATCTTCTGCTCGTGTATCAGTAATGAGCTCTGTAGTTCATCTACTGTCATTACATCCAAGTCCTTAGATTCTACTATTGTACACACCACAAAATTAAAGTTCTCTGTCATGGTGCGAAGTATCTTTTCGAAAATCTTCACATCAGGCATGTCCTCTCCAAAATTTCGCATGTCATTTGCTATGACCATGACGCGCCCTATGTATTCTGTGACTGTCTCTCCTGTTTTCATCTCTAACATTTCGAACTCCCGTCGAAGCCTTTGTAATTGGGCTCTTTTTACTCTGGCATTTCCCTGGTACTTGACCTTCATGGCATCCTATATCTGTTTGGCCTTCTCTTTCCTTGTTATGGTCTTGAGGATCGATTTGTCTATCGATTGGAAGAGATAGTTGCAAGCTTTTAGATCTTTAAGCTTGTTTTCATCATAGTTCTTATGTTGAGTCGCTGTGACTTGCTCTCCTGCTCTTATCTTCTGGTACCCTTCATCAACCACTCTCCAGTACTCTTTTGATCGAAGGAGATTCTCCATGAACATACTCCAGTGATCATAATCTCCATCAAATTTTGGTACGCAAGGGCTTTGAAACTGTGCTGTTTCATCTCCCATAGCAGCCGACTCACTTCACTCTCTGAACCACACGAATTTAGGGTTTTTATGCTCTGATACCATTTGAAGGAACTAAAAGTGATATGGAACACAAATATTGCTGAAATTCTAGTCATCTTATTCATCAACAAGCACGCCAATTTATACCCATTACATCAAACGGTAACATAGAAAAACTGGAAAATAGGAGCAAAGAACGGAACAACCTAGACTCAAAGAAAATTAAGACTGACCAGGTAAGCTGGTTAAATTTGCAGACCAGACAACAAGGCCCAATACAAAAACTAGAAATGGACTCGAAAACACCATACTGACCCACTAACTATAGCCCAACAAGCAGTACAGGTTTACATTGGTTTCTCACTTGAAATAGTTTCGAAGGCATATAGTAATCAAAAGTTTAACAAAAAAAAATCCACAAAAGAGTAAGATTCAAAAACATATATTAATCAAACCTTTTCATTAGAATTTGTGCATGAATACGATGAAGACTAACATCGTTGGCATAATCTTTAGTAAAACTCAAAACAAAAGTTCATGATACGTGTTAAAGGATATATATGCTTAAAACAATGAGAATGGATTCACAACTACTACCAAAAGTCACAAACAACAATAAAAGTATTATGAATTTATCATTAATTATGATAAAAGTACCTCGGGTAATTTCATGATTAAAGTGGCACTTGGAGAGTTCTTGAGAAATAAGTTTTTAACTTCAGTAGACATTTTTACTTTGTATGCATCCTTCTTCATGTTGGAGTCTATAATAGTCAAGCAATTTAGGTTGCTAAAAGGCGGAGGATTGTGCAACAATGAATCCGGAAATGAGAAAATACACTGCAAAATATGACAAAAAATATATTAATTATACATTAAAGATGCATACACAATATATAGATTGTACACCAGCTCTTTTATTAGTAGTGTATGTGTAACTCGTAATGCAGATACTTTGTTGTTGTACACAAAAAATAATAATATTAATAATAGTAATCATCCCACCATTCAGAAACAAAAAGAGATGGACTTTGAGCAAAATAGTTTTCATGAAACGCTAGAAAATTAAATAGAGGCCACATTCTCATATTGTTTTTCTTTTCATTTTTCTCTTATCCTTTCTGGGATTGCACCAAGTATTTCCATAGTTCAAATCAGAATATTGTCCATAGTTTCCACAATATTTACATGTCATAAATGAGTGGTATGATATTAACATACCTCAATAATGTTTGAGTTAAGTGTAAGATATCTGGCACTATGGAGCTCTTGAAGCATGTTAATAGTCTTGCATGCATCTTCATATGTCAAACCATGAAGAAGATACAAACAGATGTTTACTTTGTTTAGAGAATGAAATCGATCTTTAGACAATTGCATGGGAGGACGATAATCGCTGTAGCTCAAAGATGAAAGCCCTGGTGGAGCATTCAAGTACTTGATTGAACAATTAACTATTGTGAGATTCTCAAGTTGAGGTGCAATCAGATTGATGACGTTTAAATGAAAGCCGCTGATAAGCGTGAGATTAGAAAGTTGAGGGGTAACGATGTCAAATACCTCCACCGCAACCTTGACAGAGAAACATCTTAAAGTGAGGTTCTTTAAGTTTACACACATGGAGAAAAGGTCATCACACAATACAATGCCTCTGAGATGCAACATTGTTAAAGCTGGAAAATTCAAAGGTGTTTCGAATCTAACCCAAGCTGACATACAATCATTGGTAGTCAGTGTGAAATGTTTAAGCGACTTTGAGCTAAATAGGATATATAGAAGGGTAATTTGCAAGGTCGTTTTTGGGCCAACTCGTAACAGTTAGTTGTTGGACATTGTGAGAGAAGGCGTACTTTGCAATATTTTTCACAAAAACCTGACTAGCTCCTCCATGAAAATCTAGCTCTATGGAAGACACTTCTACTTGATGATTTCGGTGAGACAGAACATTGGTCACGAATTTGGCAAATTTGGGTAAAGGACTAAAACTTGAGAAGTTGAGACAAGGCATTGATGTCCATAGATATTCCCATCTTGATGACAACAAACATGTTTGAACAACAAATTTAATGTCAAAACAAGACAGAATCTTATGAATAAGCTCATCTGACAAGCTGCTCAATCTATCTTCTACCATCATTCCTTCTTTTTTGCCTCCATAAATCACAATCACGTATCTAATGATAATCTGCACTTCATAATGTAAAAGTTAAATGAATTACTTGGATAGCAAATTAAGAAGAATACTTCTTATACATGTTGCGTCCTAATGCAAACAATGCGTACTAATTAAATAAGGAACACGGGTTAATGCATAACATCAATAACGCATCAGGTATTGGTGCTTATAAGGCTAGTCTTATCATCTATCTCATGGGCTTCCTTGGGGGACTAATGAACAAAATTTATTTTCTAACACTGATACATCAAATCACATCTTGAATATTTTTGCCACTTCTGTAAATGTATTAAGGTTGTTTGTAAATTTAATAAATCTTTTGGCTAGCTGATAAGTGTATGATTTGTTATTCTGAACAAGACTTGCCTTCTTCCTTTTCTGCAAGTGAAGTTAAGATCCAAAAAGGTGATATAATTCTACATCCTACGCCTAGCCTTCCTTCTCAACATATTGGGAACCCAATTTTACACTTATAAGTTATAATTCAAGTGTATAAATGCCCAAAAGAAGTAGAATTGATACCACAAGAACAAATATTGAATACTAGTTTGACTAATTTCATAGAAAACAGCTAAATATAATGTGATATACCAATGACGAAATGGGAGAAACAAAATATCCCCAATTTCAATAGGCTAATAATAGTCTGATCACCTGTTAAAATACTACGTTTATAGTATAACAATGATCTGAAATACGTTATTTAAGCAGCTTCAAGAACTTCATAATAATTATTTGGGAAATCTCCAGAAAAGTCCTAAAATTTTAGTCCAATTTATGAAAAAATCCCAAACTAAATTTTATATACAGAAAAGCACAAAATACCGGTTAACACTTCGAAATAACCCTTTTCGGCCGGTTTCGCAGATTTTGCCGGTATTCTGTCCTTTTTCGTTAGTTTGCTCAAAATTTTGGGACTTTTCCAAAAATTACATAATAACCAAAATATTGGGACTTTTTTGAAAATTACCATGAAATTAATGAATATTATTATTAACAAATCATTTATAAACTTAAAAAATATTTTTATAATAAAAAAAGGAAATACATTTGTTGCTAATTTCTAGGAATAAATTGGTGGTCTAAGTACTCTATTGCTTCCTGACTACTCAAACTCTCTACATTCTTCCTATGCATTGTTGTGGGTATGATGGTGAGATGAACTTAGTTAGCATTCCTCTATTGTTGGTGTTCCTCTTATGTTGTTTAACCTAATTACAAACCAACATTCATACCTTACATGTTAACAACCATCGGCTAACACACATCTATAAAATGTGAAAAGTGAACCGTGAATGATAATTTATATGGAAACAAGTGAAGGGTTATTATCTATTTAAATTGTCATTCAAAGTTTACTTTTCACTATCGATAGATGTGTGTAATTTTATGGTTGTTACCTGGTAATGTTTGGAGGTTAGGATCGTTCTTACTTAAAGAAATTCCCATGAGGCGGTCGTTGGGATCGAATCTTCCTGGCAGCGGGCGAGAAGACCTCAGTTGGAGACGGGGCGGCTTTCTCTATTTCACGAAGATGTCTTCCACTAGCAGGCGATCGTGTTTTTCACAGGACTCCTAAGACATACAAGGCCCATGGAGGGTTGCGGGTGATTTTAACGTCATTTCATATGTGTCCGAAAAACTTGGTGGCAGACCTCCAAAAAAGGGATTTTATCTCCCTAAGGTCGAGTCTCCTTCCTATCCTTTTCAGTCTGTTTTCACTTCCTCCATCTTTGGAATTGAATCAATAGTAGCAGAAATGTTTGGAGGTTAGGTGGTAGTTAGGTTAAAGAAAATAATGAAAGATCTATATGTTCGTGTAATGATATTTTCTAATAACACGTGATCATATAGCATCATGCCTAATAGTAAGTAGACACTTATTGATTGTGTATTAATAAATATTATCAACTATTGTATTGGTCACGCCTAACAGAGTACTTCTTACTATGACACCCACAACGATACAAAGGAAGAACATAGAGACTTTGAAGTGGTCGACAAACAATAGAGAAGTACATAGTCGACCATTCTATTTCTAAAAATTAGCAACAAATGTATTTCCTTTGTTTATAATAAAAAAAAATTATGTTTATAAATGATTTGTTAATAATAATATCCATTAATTCCATAGTAATTTTCAAAAGAGTCCCAATATTTTGTTTATCGGGTAATTTTCAGAAAAGCCCTAATATTTTGAGCAAACTAACGAAAAAGGACAGAATATCGGCTAAATCTACGAAACCGGCCAAAAAGGGTTTTTTCGAAGTTTTAGCCGGTATTCTGGGCTTTTCTGTAAACAAAAATTAGTTCGAGACTTTTTCATAAATTAGACTAAAATTTTAGGACTTTTCTGGAGATTTCCCTAATTATTTCGATTAGAGATGTTAATGACGATTACCTTAAACAAATAAATAGCCATCAGCCCATCACCATGAGAAATAACAAACTAAAACTAAAAATCTTAAACATTCTTATCAATCTTAAAATGTGAACAGTAGAGGGTTAGAACTTCTTATAAACAAAGTGTTATCGCCCCTTGGACAGTATTGATCCACACACTTCATTGAAATAAACATAAACTAGCTAATACATTAAACAAAAAGCTCTACTCGGTTCCTGATGGTACGATCGTTTGCTTGTTTAAATCTCTTAATCTCCGAACCTCCGATCAACTAATGCACGATAATGATAAAAAAAAATTTCCATGTAAAAACATGTCGATGAGTGAAACTCGAAAGCTCAGGTCTCTGGTCGATCTCTGAATTGTAAGGTTAGCAAGCGGAAATTGATAAAGCAATGCATGAATGACGATAAACTAGGGTTCAAGAGACGTACCTCTTAATTAGACATATGCCGATATGTCGGAAGGATCTCACTTTTTGTGCCTTTCTCTTACTTTTTTTCCCTCATCAAAACCCAGTTGTGTATTGAAAAAAAAATTCATTTTTTTTTCATTTAATATATTTCATATAGATATTATATTTGTTTTGTAGGGAATTAAAAACCATAAATTTTGATATATTTTTTATAATTTTTTAATAAGTATATAATTTAATAAATATTGAAAAAACTAAAAACAATAATAAAAAATATTGATCAATCACATGATGAAAGAAAGTGAATAATAGACTCCCCTTAGTCTTTTCCCTCACCCACAGTATGACGTTTCAGGGTGGGAGAACTTTTCCCCCACTCTTTACCCGTTGCACACCAACCGGCCTTATAAGGTGAATTCCCTGCTAAACCCTAACACAAAAACCCGCACAAGAATTTACGATAGCATTGATTTTTAGGCAAATTATATTCTATGTCCACAGGGTTTGTTCACTTGATGAATATGATACTTCAAAAAAAAATTAACAAATTTTGTTTATAAGATAGTGGTTTGCTTAATGAGTAGTGTTTTTAATTGAAGGACTCAAAGTTAGATTGGTAAAAATGAATGGTTGCTCATTAAATATGGCCATCTTTTTTTTAACGGAAAAGTATCAACCTTTAAAATATAAGAAAATGTAAGTATATATTAGATACGGCTGAATTATTGTGTGAACCTAAAAATTTGTGAGAATTTACGAACTCCAAATCTGCAGTTGAGAACTATGCGCCCGGAGTCATATAACTGCAGATAAGCATATGTCCCAGTCATATTTGTGTCCGCAGTCATATAACTGCAAATAAGCATGCGTCCCAGTTATATCTGCCGCCGTAGTCCATATAATCGTTGATTCATAAATATGCATGCATGCATATATATATAAATCGGCAGTAAAAAAAATCGCCAAATCTTTTTTTTACCCTAGATTGGCTTAGACGTTGCATTTCATTTAATATTGATGGTTTTGATTTTGAAAAAATGATGTGCGGATTAAGAGTTCTCAAGTTCGCATAATTTTTTAAGTTTTTAAAAGAACTTGCGTCTAGGTAGATATGCATATATCATATTAACATCTACCTGTCCTAATAAATGAAACCTAAAAATGCCACATATCATTTTTCTAACATACTTATTTGATACGAGGCATTTTTTTAAAAATAAATATCATTTCTTTTTCTTTTTTAACAATTCAATCCTATAAAATTTGCTAAAAATCTTTGACCATTATCTTATCTTAATAACATTCTATTAAAATCTAATCCAAATTTGAATCTTATTTCCTAAAATTATCGGTATAAAAATCTTTTATTAAATTATTGTTATTCATATTATGGGCGTGTTCGGCACGGAGCGTTTAGGAGCATTTGAGAGCTTCTAGCTTCTAGCGTTTGACAAAACGCTCCATTTTGAACAAAAAGTCTTGTTTGACACTACAAGCTTCTAGCGTTTAGTTTAAACAAAATGCTTCAAATCCAAAAGCTACTTCATGTAGCGTTTAACAAAACGCTACAAGCTACCCGCTACAAATTAATCGCTATTAGCTAGTTTTGCCGAACACGTCCTATATATACTATTATTATTTACAATTAAATCTTAAAATTATTTATTAAACCGCAATCATTTTATTTGTTTCGTGTTCATCCAAAATCTTTATCTCTAATAAATTGATTTTTTAATTAAAAGAAATAATTATTTATAAAAATAGGGAAAATTTTATATATACCCTTACTAAGTTTCAAAATATCGTATTTACCCGGTCTATAATTTAAATATCATATTTATTCTTAACTTTTAAAATATCATATTTGTCCAAATTTATTTTTAAAACAATTTTTAAACTGTTTTAATAACTTTTTATATTTTATAATTATATTAACTTATCAAATAAAGTTAATTGACCAAATTACCCTTCATTATTAAAACTCATTTGCAATACATTTGATTGAATGAATTCTCGTCGATGCCTCTTAATCATACTCTTCCTTTCAAACTCCATTGAAACCACTTTCAAATTAAAAAATATCTCCTGACACTCCTCATTTCTACCTTACACCCCCTTCATGTCCACAATGCTAATATGATA